AGGTCATCTTCAGTAGTAATAATGTTATTTGTTGCCAAGTTTGGATTTTAATCGTTTTATGATATGGTAAGAAGAAAGAGGATTCTTCTGCCAGTAATTTCAGTAAAAGTCACTCATCAACTTTAACTCAGTTTGTGTGACAGGCTCATCCCTGAACTGATCACTGTGGCCAGGAGCTTGGGATGCCCTGGTGGCTAAAATGAATCACATAAACTGGGATTGGAATAAACCTCATTGAATGACATAGACTGAAACTGATGGTAAAAGTCATTTACCTATAAAGTGGGGTGAGAAGTGCAGTGAATCAAGGTGGAGAAGGGGAAAAAAGCCAACAAGATCCATTAGGGGGATTTCTCAGTCTTGGTGAGCAGCTTAAGAGGGAAGCTAATGAAAAATTCTAGAGGAAAAACTAGCAAGCTTAACTCAGGGCCTGTGGCATGCCAGCAGGGCTGGGCACAGGACAGTCAACCTCATGCCTTCCCACATGAGTCCTGCTTCTAGGCACAGTCGACTTTCTCTTGAGTCTGTATCAAGCTCAGCTAAAACCCTGGGGCAGTTAAAATAGAGAGGAAAGGAGTTGGTAAAAGGGGTGGAGGGAAGGCAAATGGCAGCCTGCTCTTCTGATCTAGCTATGTGGCAAATACCCACATGTCAGAGTCGTGCGAGGCCCCCTACCTCCTGAGCAGCCGGATTCTGAGACATTTGCAAAGATGTAAACCCCACATAAAAAGTGTGCCATTCGATAATTATGCAAATTAGCTGGCAATTAGATAATGTCACTCACTTTCTTTCTCCTGCTTATTCCCACACAACGGATACGTGTTTTGAGCCTCTACACTAGCCTGGGCCCTCTGTGTAGAAACCAGAGCCAACCACCTATTCTGTGGCTGCCCATGCTCTCCTATGACTCCAGAGAGGGTGGCAGTCGTCTCACCAGGTGAAGAGGGTTCCCTGCCTCTCACATTCCCATTTCTTGAGCCTGACATGCTCCACATGTGGGTTAAAGGAGGCCAAAGGATAAATATGAGGGAAGCTAGCTGGAGGTCTCTGATATTTATTTATTTAATGATAGTGCATGTGTACATGTTCATGAGAGAGACAGAGAGAGAAACATCCTCAACAGGATCCAGCCCTTTGACCAGCACTCTTGACCCTTTCCCCAGCTCACCCACTCATCATGATTCTGGGTGCCTTCTCATGTTCTATAGGCTGATCAGGGAATGGAACCCACAGTTGGCCATATGGCCTCCAACCTTCCTGGACACTTGTACTATTGTGCCCCAGTGGCTGGGCTGGGCTGTGGTTTTTAGTATAAAGTCATCTCTAGATTTTGTCCATTTTAGCAATTTCTCAGAGGCTATGAAAATGTCTACAATCCAACAAAGGAGTAGAAAGGCTTTTGGAGAAAATGTGGGTAGATAATAGGTTGCCAAGTATGAATAAACTCAATTCTTTTTTTTCTTTCTTTTTTTTTGGAGAGGTTTTGCTATAGGGCATGTGTACTTGCCAGAAATACAGAGAGAGACAGAGAGACAGGAAGTGAGAAATCACCCCCCCCAGGGGGGATTGCCACACCATAGTCCCTTCTCCTCCATTCTCTTCTTGGGATCTTGGGCATGCATGCACACTTGCCTGGCATGAGTTTAAGCCACCGGGTCCGGGACTCAAACCGCGGTAGACTACATGGGAGCCCAGTGACATAGCCATTACACTAACTGTTGGTCCCAATAAACTCAATTCTAATGTTACCACTTCTGAAATGAGATTTTTATCTATTGCCTATGGGAAAGCAAGCTTGGTTTTCCTCATTCAGCCTTTTAGTTCCCCACAACTTAGGGCAGGAGAATATTGGTATCTCCAATGGCAATATGGTCTGACTGGAGTGGAAGGGTGAGTCTGAAGAGAAATTCTCAGTCAGGCAGTATAGAGAGGCCATTCTGAAGCAGGCTAGATAAACTCCTATGATCATCTCTCCTGGATGGATGTTCTTGGGTAATAGAATTCTTAATTCATGGATTTCCCCAGATCCTAAGCATATGCTTCTTTGTCCTTTGGGCAAATACTCTTCTCAGGTATTTACACTGCTAATTCTATCAGCCTCTTTCCAGTCTTTTCTTATACCCCACCTTCTCAAATACTCTAGTGTGTAGTATTTGTCTATTTCTATGGTATAAACACTTCTAATGTAGTTGATTTCATGATACCAAAGTGATATCAACCAGCTCAGAAATTCCTGAACTTTTGGCAGTTGACTATCACAAGCGTGTGAGAGCTGGCACCAGCACAGTCCTTCATCCATTTTCAGCCAAGCATCCCATGCATCACTTGTACCCATGCCACAAGTTAGGACACACTGCTTGCAAAAGACTTTTTATATAACAAAGGATTCCTTAATGATAGATTTAACCAGCTTCTTACTGGTTGGGTTTACTGGGAATGAGTGTTTGTTCCTGGTTAAGAGAGAGTATCTTTTGCTTTAAAGCAAGGATAGTAAGTAGCTTTTCTGATGTGGTCATCATAAAAATAGTGAATGAAAATGTTCTGATAGAGACCATGAAACATGATCAGATATGTGGAGGAATAAGCAGCCACTTGCACAGCTCTTGGAAATGACACTCACTCTTGTGTCTGAACAGAGAACTCTCCACCTTATGGGCCACAGTCTGTCCTCAGAAACCAGATCACTATCTTGATGGGATGATGGTGCATTTCTAACCATTATAAAACACATATGTAATATGTATATTCCAGGTCTGTGGCATTTCATAACTATTCAATTGTTATTCAGTTTACACAGTTTTTTTTTTTTTTTTTTTTTTTTTTTGCCAGAAGGCATATGCACATGCTGAAGAGAAAGAGAGAGAGGGTGAGAGAGAGAAAGAGAGAAGGCACCCTATGGTATGGTCATGCTGCAATCCTTTCTCCTCCATTTCTTCCTCCTTTTGGTATTTTGGGCATGCACACATGCTGGTGTGTTTTCTCAAGCTACCTGGTCTGGGACTCAAACCACATGATCAGCCATGGGGGATTCAGCTGCCTTAACAATCAGGCCACAGGCTGGTCCCAGTTTAGAGCTTTTATAATTTTTAAAAACACAGTCATCCCACTGACATGCAGGGCATTCCCTTTTGAAAAAGCAATGTAATACACTGTAAAGTTATATGCAATCCAGTGTATTATAAACAAGATTATGATGATAATAAAAAATTAAAAAAGACAAAACAGTCATCCCTCTTATATCTGCAGAGGATACATTCCAAGGCTCCCAGTGGATGCCTGAAACCATGAACAGTACTAAACTGTATACACACACACACACACACACACACACACACACTAGGTTTTTTCCTAAATTTAGGAAAACTTAGGAATACATTTATCATAAGTATGTATGACAAAGCTACTTATGATGAAGTTTAATTTATATGTTGGGAACAGTAAGAGGTTAACAACCAGAAGATAGAATTAAAATAATTTACTATAATAAAAGTTGCGTGAGTGTGGTCTCCCTTTCTCTTTGTCTCTCTCTCGAAATATCTTGTACCTTTCTTCTCATGATGATGTGAAATGATAAAATGCCTAGAATGAGGAGGAAGTGAGGTGAGTGACAGAGGTATTGACACCGTATTAGGCTACTATTATTGTCCTTCTGATGCTATTTCAGAAGGAGGATCAACTGCTTTGGGTGATGCTGGGTCATTGAGCCATGAAGACCTATGAAAAATTTATCTCCTTTTTTTATTGTTACAGGGTGTATGTGCTTATGCACATGCAAGAGAGAGGAAGAGAGAGAACAAACTACCTAGTGGGGTGTGGTCATGTTGTAACCCTTTTTCCTTCATTTCTTCATCCCATCAAGATCCTGGGCACACACACAATGCTCAGAATGTTTTTCAAGCCGGCAGGGCTGGGACTCAAACCACAGTTGCTCATGTGAGATCTGGTTCCCTATGCACAGGTCTTAATAGCTGTGCTATGGGGCCAGTCCAGATCCATGACAGTTTTCTAGACCATGGTTGATTGTGGGTAACTGAAACCACAGAAAGAGAAACCATGGATAAGGAGGGAGTACACAGTATTTGTATTTTTTTATATTCCCTCACTTCTTAGAAATACACACACTCACACATACACAGACACTTACTAACGCCCCTCCTCCCATCCCTTCTCATTTCAGAAATAAGCCAGAAAGAAAAACTTAGTGTTTATTGATCACCTACTATATATAAAACCCAAACTAGGTTCTTTTCTTGATTCATTTAATCCTTACCTCAATCTTGGAAAGTGGCTATGATTTATTCTGCAAATGAGAAAACAGAAGCTCAAACAGGTTAAAATTTTTTCTCATAGTTCCACATACAGGAATTAAGATTAAAATTTAAATTTTTTATTTTTAAATCCTAAAGCACATATTTTTCTGTAAGACCTTTTCCCCATTATTTAGTAAGAAGTGAGAGTTGTTTTGCTTATTACTCACCTTCTAACTTATTTTCACTGATTGTTATAAATATTTCTTAAAAAAATTTAAGGGTAAGAATCTATTTTAGGCCTCTTACACCCAAGCAGCAGGTTGTCAACATGAAAAAGAAAAACCTAAAGAAAAAAAAAAAAGCCTTTTAATAGATAAATAAGTAAAAATTATGTGTGGGTTATTTAAGTCTGTAAAATGTTAGTGGTTATCTTAAACAAAAATTTTGGCTGTGTGATCCTGTGGCATGAATATATTATAAAAATGTGCTGACACAGCATTGGGGATTTCGCTCTGTTTTTGCCTATGCAAAACATCTTAGGAAATGGGCTCAGGGTCCCACAGTGGCTCTGGAAGAACCCAGACCCTTCTTCCTGTTTGAAACACTCTGGGAAGAGTGCTCGAGGCATCACAAGAATAGCCTAGCTCGAAGCTGGAGAAGTCAGCCCTCTATCAGTACTGGTGAAATAGGATGCAGTGTTTTCCTAACATGTGACCCTAATCTTCTCCTTCTGTTCTTTTCTCCTCACAGGTGTTTCCTCTGGAGTCTCGGGTGGCAGGTTGTAGGCAAGACTGCCTCTGACCGGCACCATGAAGCCTGAGCCTGCTTCCGCTCTGCCCTGGACACTGCTCTGCCTGAGCACTCAGCTCCTCATCACCTCCCTCCCTGTGGCCCACTGCTGCTAGGAGGTAGACCTGCAGGACTGGTCCTTTGCCTGTTTCTACCTTTCACCTGGCTCACCTTACTGTTAGCTCTGCCTTCATCACGGCACCCCCAGCCCCAGCCCTCTCCCCGGCCTTCCTGGCTGGGGTGTGTGGGGGTCTGTTGGGAGGAGTGCATTGCTGAAAGCTTCCTCCCGCCTTTGTGCACTTTATCCTCCTTGAATCAAGGCCTCCGGATCCACATGGATAGCTGAGATCTTTTCTTGGAGAAGGACACAGTCCTCTTCACTCCAGTCCTCAATTTCCCCACCTGATTGCCCTCCTCTTCTGTTGCCGCTGCCTCCCTATTGCATCTCTTGCCCGTGGGCCCATCTGAACCTGTCTTATTTGCTTTCCTCCTTCCTCACCATCTTGATATTTGTGTGTGTATCTCCTTTCCCTTGTGTGCTCTCTGTGCCCCCACTTCTGTCCTGTCTTCTTCTGCCTAAGGGCTATTCCCTGATCTGCCTGTTTCTCTGGGCCCTGTCCCAGCAGCCACGATGAGCTTCACTTTCCACTCGGTTTTCTTCACCCTGAAGGCGAGCGTCCTGCTGGGGTCTCTGCTGGGGCTCTGCTTGGGCCTTGAGTTCATGGGCCTCCCTAACCAGTGGGCCCGCTACCTCCGTTGGGACGCCAGCACGCGCAGTGAGCTGAGTTTCCAGTTCAAGACCAATGTCTCCACTGGGCTGCTGCTCTACCTGGATGATGGTGGCGTCTGTGACTTCCTCTGCCTCTCTCTGGTGGATGGCCGAGTTCAGCTCCGCTTCAGCATGGACTGCGCTGAGACTGCTGTGTTGTCCAACAAACAGGTGAACGACAGCAGCTGGCACTTCCTCATGGTGAGACGTGATCACCTGCGCACAGTGCTGGTTCTTGATGGTGAGGGACAGTCCGGTGAGCTGCAGCCCCAGCGGCCCTACATGGATGTGGTCAGTGACTTGTTCCTTGGTGGAGTCCCTGCTGACATTCGACCTTCTGCCCTGACCCTTGATGGAGTACAGGCCATGCCCGGTTTCAAGGGATTAATCCTGGATCTCAAGTATGGCAACTCGGAGCCTCGGCTTCTGGGGAGCCAGGGCATCCAGGTGGATGCTGAGGGACCCTGTGGTGAGCTTCCTTGTGAGAATGGTGGGATCTGCTTTCTCCTGGATGGCCACCCCACCTGTGACTGTTCCACCACTGGCTATAGTGGCAAGCTCTGCTCAGAAGGTAAGACCCTTTCCCCAATGCTCTCTTGTTAGAGACCCTCCCTTCCCCACACTAAACTGGGGGATGGCTGGGACTCCTAATAGAAACCAGTTCCATACTGAAGTACATCTTCAGCTGTGTGCTAGATAATTAGGCCCCTTTCCCTGAGGAGGCAGTGGCAATCCTTCACTTGCTCTCAATGGAAAATCATATTAGATCTCAGCAGAGAGAATCCTGGCTACTTGACCCTGGACCCTGTGCTCAACTCAGAGGGCAAGAGGGAGTAGACTGCAGAGTCTGTGCCCCAGCTCGGCTCCTTCCACTGGGGCACAGTGCAGTGAGTCATCGCAGAGCAAGAACACAGAAATTGGCAGAGTGGCTATCTCTGTCCCTCCTGACCCCTTGGGACTTATATCCTTAGTGATGCATGGGAAACTCTGTCACTTCCTCCTTATAACCCCTAGTTCAAGGAATAACTGTGCTAGAAATGAAGGTGGACTGCAGGGTACATGATGGGCCCTGCTGTAAACCTAGTTCTTCCACTGTGCCTCTTCTCCGAAGTGCCCCAGAAGTGTCTAGAGGGTCGATGAGGCCTCTGGGTTATGTCCTTCTCCTCTCTGTATTCTAACAATGAGCATTTACTAAATGAGGTGATTCTTTAGATAATGGTTCCCTCTTCTTTCTTTTGTAAATATTGGGAACCATACAAGCAGGCCCAGAGAGTGACAGGAGCCTTATTCACTCAAGTCTCCAAGATAGTTGGCGATACTTGGCCTAACCTGGACAACCTCCCAGTTTCAACTACAGCTTCCTGGAGAGCAGAAAGGAGGTACTCCTGCCCGAGGGCAAAGGCTGGATCAATATTATTTGCTAAATTCTGTTTGGCTTTAGACCTGAGAGAAGTGGCTTAGATTTTCATTTGACAAATACTTGAAATTCAAATTCCTGGACTTACTAAAGGCTTAGACTTGGGTAGGTGGAACCGAGGAAGTGACGAAGTCTGTGACAACTCACCATATGGGTTTGTACGTTGGGAGGTTAGATGATGAGGAGGCAAGGAAGTTACATTTTCTTTGCCCTAGAATTCTTCCAGAGGTATTTTAAGTTGCTGTCCCATGCTGATTTCTTTGTGGAGGTGGCAACCTGGTGAGGATCACCTGGGCGAGTTAAAAATCTTCCAGGCTAAACTCAAGGTTACTTACAGCTGAATCTCTTGGGGTAGGGTCAAAGCATCTGTGTATTTTTAAAGCTCTCACATGATTCCAGTGTGCAAGCAAAATTAAGAGCAAACTGGGTTGGGAGAGGACAGGTAGGCATGGTCAAGTGAGTATCTCTTCACTGACTCCGGAATTTTTTCATTCAGGTAAGGCTCCACTACCTTGGGATTTGTAATAAAAGACTGACTACAAGTTTGCCTTAAAAGTTCCCAGAACAGTTCAACTCCTAAAGCTGAGCATGGTTGATGTGAACTTTAGCTCTCAGTAGATATTTAAAAATATTTTTAAAATATAAAAACAATTATTTTCACAGGTGGTGCATTTTGGAGGCTAGGATGTATCAGAAGTCTTGCTGGAGACCTTGTGGGTTGTGTAAGGCTATTGAGGGGTGGTTCCTGGGTCTCTACCTCCTCTACCTGATTGGGCATTAGAGGGGATGCCAGACATTTAGGTTGTTCTTTTCTGACTTGTTTTCTCCATTAAACCTACTGGAAAAAGGGGTGGGGAGCAGGGGTAGAAGTAACCCCAGTCCTCACACTGGGAACGTGGTTATTGACGCTTCTTCCAAGCAGGTGTCTTCTGGAGTTGACTGCTGTTCCAAAGTGTCTTGGCTTTGGAGAAAGTGCTGCCCGAAGACTCTGACATGATCACTTGTTTTCTCATTTGCCCACAGGATCTGTTCTTTTCTCAGAACTTACATTGAAAGCTGGTATTCTTCCTTTCTAGGGACCAGGGTGTTTGCAAATGTGTTGTTAACTTGCTGATTATCCCTGATTGCATTTTTGTGTTTAAAAAGAACTCATTTCCTCTGGGCAGGTTTGGATCAGCACTTTTCTGTGGGAAGAATCTCTATACTGTATATGTATACAATTTGTCTCCCCCCCTTATGTGTTTTCTAGTCTCTCAGTGGAATTTCTTTACAGCAGATTGTATGCAGTTGATTTTTAAATAGCTAAGTGCAATATGTATATTTTAATAATTGTTCTTTCTACAAGGTTTGTCTAACTGTGGATTGATATCAGCATCTGTGGAAGGCAAACACAGTGCATAACTCATTTATTCTCCTGATGGATAAATAGAGTAAATAAACTCTGTCATAACAGTAACCCCTGGCTGGCTTGGGACAGAGGAGTGGAAAGGTTGAGGTGAGAGTGGCTGATGAGGGAGGTTGATAACTTGGAGCCTGGTGATCTTGATCATTCTTTTTATGTCTAATCAATCACAGATACACATCGCAGACTATTAGAAAATATCCGTGGCCTCCACACACAGTTAATTTGGGGGACTAAGTGGGAAACACCTGTAAAATGTTAAGGGAGAAGAAAATCATAGCAGCTGCTAAGTGTCAAGCAGAGTGGCGTAAAGCAAGATAAACAGCCTAAACAAATGCCTTCCCATTTTCTTAAAGATAAAGTGGTAAAGTGGGTAGTGAGAGTGGACCCATAAGCCCTCCACTGTCTTAAATTGCACATGTCTGAACTGAAACCAGAGGCCTTATTCTCAGTGGTTGGTCCTCTGTACCAAGCACCTAATTGTCCCAATTTGCAGGCTGGACTTTGCTGTCTGATTATATGAATGCCTGCACCTGGTGTGGAAGAACTCCCTCCCTCTCCTCCCCATGTTTTAGGCGTTTAAAGATAGGGAAAAGCTAGGAGGGCTCCTGTACTCCAGATGACGTGGTTGGGGTCTGTTGGAGGTGCCTTCTACACTCCTTTAGCACTCCTGTAATGTTGCTGATGGCTTGGCCTGTCTGGATTCTAGGCTTGATGGCTTCAAAGTGTCTTCTTGCTACTCCCAGGAAGAAGGCACAGAGGGGCTAATCTCCTTTATGTGTTTTGGGCTGTTTTGATTCCCTGTCAGGTATTTTCTCAAGGTAAGATCCAGAAAACCCTGGAAGCAGTTGCTGTGGGAGAATTAGATCTAGAATTAATCCAAGAATTAATGGATGATAGTACTAACATTTTTTTTGTTTAGTGAAAGATCATTACTCTGGCTGTAGACTGAATTCTGTGGAGCTTACTTGGGAAAACTTCGTTCCAAGATTCCCAACCTAATTAATAGCTACATCGAATATTATGGCATATGATAGATGGAGAAGAGTCTGAGACTTCTAGGTGTTATGTGTGTAAATGCTTTGGTATCCCACCAGACTTGTTCAAAGTACATTTTATCTCCCTCTTCAGGAATGGTCTTGGAAGACATATGTGCAGATACACAGAATGATTTTCAAATTATGGTTTAGAATATGACTGGGCTATGGCCCAGTATTTTTGCCTATATTTTTGTTTGTTTAGCTCAGTCTGCCCTGTTATGGAGTCTGGAAGTGGTATGACTAATGAAGAGGTATCCCCAGCTCTTTCTGGAGACCAGTCCCCTCATGCATCTTGGAGAGCTTGTCATTATCTTGAAATGAGTTTAAACATCTTTATTTTAAAAACATTCTTAGTTATAAATGTGCACATATTCAATTGCTCAACAGTCTTATGGTTTTGAAAATTGATTCACTGCCAAGGTGTATACATTTTCCTGAAACTAGTACTTCATTTAGCGTGAAGTCAACCTACTGCAGGCAGGTGGGGCCAAGGTATGATGTCACAGGTTGATCTCTACTCCCAAATGTCTTGATTTATGCTTGCCTTTGCCACATATCATCTGTGTGTTTACTGTTTTAGGTTAATTCAGTGGAAAGGCATGAGGTTCTATTTCACTGGCAAAGAAAAAGTTGGTTCGTTGGTTGATATCTTTTCCTGCTAACTTGGACAGGTGCCCAGATGAGAAGCTGCTTGTCTTGAGTCTCAGCTGTTATGTTTTCAGGTGTTGGGATCCTATGGTGAATTTAGTAGTGGGTGTTAAAGATAGGGACCAGAGCCTTACTGAAGCACACTGTTGTGCGACACCCACTTGTGGTACCCCCATCCCTCTGGCTGTCTGAGACTGACATCCTACTTGGGTTGGCTTGGTTGGTGGCTTAACACCATTGTGCAACCCTCATACTCTTCCCCCAAAAGTGAACTTCGATGACTTTTCTTTCTACTGAGAATTTTGTCACTCTTTCTCCATCTCTCAAAACCAGAACTAGGATGGAATAGCATGTACTGAATGGAGACTGCTTACTCCAAGCATATACCAAGGTCCAGAGTCATCAGATGGTGTGGTTAAGGTACCAGCCATTACCCCTGCTGGATCCTCCTGTCCTGAACCCTTGTATAACTTCCCCAGTGCACACTCTGCCGCAATTGTAACATGACATCATTTCCAGTCTGTGTTAACTCTAAATGCCTGTGGGAATGAGAGGAGGCTGCTACAGAGTGGTGAGTGATCATAGTGTGGAGTCTAAAGTATAACCCCTTCCTAGTGTTTTTTATTTATTTATTTATTTTATTTATTTATTTATTTTATTTATTTATTTTTTGTGGTACAAAGTAGGTAATACTCAGCAAGGCCTTAAAACACACACAAAGGAAGGCCTGGGCTTCCCAGACTTGATTCCCCACTTCAAATTCAGACTTGAGATAGGACCAGCCCAGTCAGCCAGCAGGGGCTGTAGCTAAACCAAGACTGAATAGGGGTCTGATTGCTCCTTTTCCTCCTCTCCTCCTGATTACCAAGTGAGATTTCCTGGGTATGCTGTATGCTAAATGGTGGAGCTGCTGCCTGCTACTTGCTCCAATTATCCCTTTTTTAACTGCTGAGAGAAGAGCATTTTTTTTTTTTTTAATCTCCCACTCCCCCCCCC